AGAAAACGGAGCTCAAATTCGGGCCACCTGTTCGAATTTCCTGATAAAAACACTTACCACTCTGTCATATGGCCAGTGAAGTTGAACAGATTTAATGGAGTTCGGATGCGTACCGCGCACAATCTCACCTCACCTATTTACGTCGCTCCTTGAATGCAGCGGACCAAAAATTTGATAAGAATAAACCACCAGACGCGTACCTGGATTGGATGCCGAAAGAGCATTTTGGAGTCATATTTTACCTCATTGAGTGTTCAAGTAGGATCTCAGCAAGGTGAGGGCAGAATTTAGTGTTACTGCAAATGGCGAATTGAGCGAGAGCCATCAACCATCACTATTTGCTTCTGTTGTTTTCAGTTACCTTTGCGTCGTGGTCATCTTCTCTTGATTTCCTCCATCCTTTGAGCTCGGTACCTTACGAAGATCCCTCACTAAACATTTTTACGTGCATGTTGCAATGTTTTTCGACTGTCGCTTGAATTACGCTAGTAGCATCAGCAAATCCTGATTGAACTACAGAGTGCTACATAGTACTACATAGCGTGTATAGTGTCTATAGTGCCTGTAGTGTCTGTAGTGAAGGGTATTTACTCTATAGTACTCTATAGTAGGGCCCCCACTATGTAGTGCTCTGTAGTACCCTGTAGTCGTGTTGGCATCCTATATAGTGCTCTGGACTACTATATAGGTCATTGTTTGCAATATATCGAAAATTGAATAAAATAAATTAGTATTTATGACTTCAGATGGTTCTCTTATCTCGCCAACAAAGAGCAGGAAACCAATAATTCGATATTCAGGAGCTATATAATACCAAGAATTCACGTATCTAAACAAGATACGTATTCAAGAAGCCGTTGTAGTATAGGTATTAGCTGAGATCAATGTCAATAAGCTCCGGGTCCTCCATGATTACGTCTTTTCCGTTCATTCCCCTGCGACCGAACGCCAACTGGCGCCAGCGGCCCCACTCCGCAGAAGTCTTGGCCCACTCGCGTGGGTTCTCCTCCAATTGGTCGAGAAGGAGGAGGCAAGTTTATAGTACCGAGTGTACTCGGTGGCTTTGAACTGCAAGGGGACCTGGTTGCCGCTCTTGTGCTCGTCAAATACACTTTTGAGCTGGGGTATCATCGTTAACACTTGAAGATATAAACAGATTAATTGAATCTTACCACAGTGGACCCAGCGGCCATGAGATGCTTGCCATAAGGGTTGAAGTCGTCGGGATAACGCATACCTACGGTGTCGCCACGCGTGTTGGCCCTTCCAAAAAGAAGCGCTTCAACGGCGATTTGAAGCCCTGCGTTCATGAAGTTGTTCTTGTGGCCCTGGAAAGAAATGAGCAGCGCATTAACAATATAAATGAACAGGATACAGCATGATCTCGGCCACGGTGCAGAAACTCGGAGCTTCTGAGTAACTCGCCGACCAGCCGGCTAGTCGCTTGAAACCACTCTTGTTGATTGAAGCCCCGATCTTCAAATTGGCTCATGTCGGGCGAGGTGTTGTACTTGAGGAACGCAGGTCGCGTTAGAGTTTTCGACTCTCCTCGGTAATGGGCCACTTCCCCCCATAACTAGGATAGTTTTTTTTTTCAGCAAAAATATGTCAAGAAGGATGGAATGGCTGACAATCTCGATCATGGCAGGTTGATACTTCTGATAGAAGTCTATAGGCCATCTGTTCAGTAATGGTTACTGTCTGAATTCATACAGCTACTCACCCCTATCCAAGTCCATTTCATGTTCGTCTTCCACTTCCGCGATAGCTTCATTTAAGAACTGCTTTCGCGCTAACTCGGGAAAGTCTTTCTTATCGGGGAAAACTGGTGTAATAACATGTGTCGGTCAACCTTCAACTTTCCCCTGTCCAGGGCCTGCCTCCAAGAGGGCTCGAAGAAGGACATTAGAGTTGGTGGGGGATCATCAGACCGCGGTTCGCTTCTTCCTCTTTCTTCCACACTGGCCGTCGTCCTCGTCTTCGTCGTCGCGGTTGTTGTTGTTGTTGTCGTCGTCGTCATCACGGTCGTCGTCACGGTCCTCGTTGCCGCGGTCGTCGTCGCCTCCCTCCTCTTCCTCGTCACGCCGGCCCTCTTGAAGTGCGCGAAAACGATCAAGTTCGGCGGGTTGGGGGGCCGATTGGCCCTGTTTTTTTGCGGTGCGTAGCCACGACATCTTGAGCTAATCAGATCGGTCCAGTATATACTAAGAAACACACCTTCGATGGTCCGATCGGGCCCAAGAACTGTGCGGAATGAGACAAGGAAACAAGATAGTGCGAGGTACTTACCCTCAGCCCAACGATGGTCGCCGTCACGCCCCTTGCGTCCATGACGTTCACGGTTCGCCGCAGGTGCTAATGTGTTTGTGTTAGACAAAGTGTGTACCTCTAGACTCACTCACGGTCATCAAGATACTCTAAGTCGTCGTCTAGAAATGTGTTAGTGTCAGAGGCGGTATGCATAGTAAGACCCACCTGGGTCTTCATAGGCATTAATACTCTGGTGGCCTCCTCGCCCTCCTCGCCCTGATGCGCATATATTTCAGACACAATAACTCATGACCAGATAAACTCACCGTCTTGGTCGAGGTTTTCGCTCGTGATGCTCAGCGCATCGTCATCGTCCTCACCTCCAGCACCAGGGTTTGAATCCTGGTATTCCTCGTTGTCTTCCGGATCTTCGGCTCCCTCATCGTTATTCTGCCACTGGTCCAGCTGGTCCGGCTCTTCGTCGGGGTCGAACTGACTGCCGTCGCGCCTAGTGGGATTTTTCTGAAGTGGGTGTTGACTACTAGCGTCTCGCCCCGCACGTTACTGCCGGCAACTCCGAACGCTCCATTGAAGGAGGATCCGGTCGCGACTGGCGGTTCTTGGCGCTGACTATTGGCGTCTCGCCCCGGCACGTCCCAGCCATTGGCACCGCCCAAGGAGGATCTGGGCTGTCGGTCGTAATCGCCCGGCAGTCTCTGGTCTGGTTGTACAAGCAGTCAGCGAACAAAGAAGAAGAAGAAGAAGAAGAAAGAGTTACAGGGGCGGCCAGTGGTCTCATTGATGTTTTCGAAATCAAATCTCGGTAAGGCTTTGGGCCGTTGGTCGTAATCAACCGACGGTCCCTGGTCTGGTTGTACAACTAGTCAGCGAACATAGAAGAAAGAAGAAAAGGAAAGAAAAATTTACCGGTGCGGTCTGCCGCCTCCTCCCTGTTAGGGGCCAAACTGATTCTGCCACTGGAGAATATGGACCGTCGGTCGTGATCAACCGGCGGTCCCTGGTCTGGTTGTACAAGTAGTCAGCGAACATAGAAGAAAGAAGAAAAGGAAAGAAAAATTTACCGGTGCGGCCTGTGGCCGCCTTCTCAAGGTTGTCAGTAATGTGAATGGTTCAATGCATGCAGTTATCGAACTTGCCTCATTGTGATTTACGATTGATGGGTGGTACGGCCTTGGTGGAAGATCCGGGTTTAAGTTCTAATGAAGAGTGAGGTAAAGCACCGTAAAGCAGTTCAAAATTTACTGGGGTGCGCTTCCCTCGTTCGTCTCCTTGTACCGGGTGGTTGTCCGTCTGATCCAGAGTGAGGCAGAGCACTGTGGCGTAGTTCAAACTTACTGAACGAGTCTGGGACGTCTGCTGAGCTGGACGATCATTCTAATCAAAAGTTAATATAAAGCACCCTCAAGTAGTGAAAGGATCCACCCACCACTTGGCGACTTTGAGCAGCTGCCGCCCGCGCTGGACGGGGTGCGTCCGCGAGGAGGTCTGGCTCGGCAGCCAGGGGTCCTCGTGTGTGCGAAACCTTGGTTTCCTCGGAGGGGGGGGCCTGATCATTGTCCGGGACATCTTCTGGTATGGTCGGTTTCGCTGTCGGTTTCGGAGGGTTATCGTAAATTGCGTCTCCCTCGCGCAGCAACCGCGACATTGTGGACCTGGGGATACACTTCTCCCGTCCATCTTGGGAGACGGGACGACTAGCTGCAAGACATCGGTAATGTGCTTTGGCCAGATGAGCAAATGACTCACCAACGTTGCCTACAAATCGCGTGTCAGGGTAGTGTTTTAAACATAACAATTATAGACTCACTCGTGTCTTTAAATATCTTCTTGGCCTTCTTGCTGGGGGGAGGATCCTCATCCTCATCTTGATCATCATCCCGCGCCTTGCGCTTCGACGCACCTGTGGAAGAATACATTAGAGCCAATAGGATACGTCGAGTCGCGACTTACTCCGCCCATTGTTCGACCGAGTCGAAGCTCCTTGGACTAGAAGATCAGTGAATACGCGTGTTCAATGTAGGTAAGGAGAGACGCGCCATCTTGGGAAGTAACAGATGAGCCGTCCTTCTTGCGACTTGAGGTCGTCGCGCTCTTGGTCTTGGTCGCGGCCTTTGTGCTTGATCGCGCTAGGAAACATTGGGAATCAAGATGTGAACAGAGTAGAGTGGCCGAGGACTTACTGGGCGACTTCTTCCGTGTCTTGTTCATCTGAGGCATTTCTACTCTGGTGGTAGTGGTTCAGAGACAAGAGCTACCGGGTATGTTCAGCGGAATTTAAACAAAGCCAGACGGATCAAACAAATATCCTCACGTGAGGGCGATGGCGCCCCAACTCCCGTCGTAAGTCCACCGCCTCCAAGATAACACTCAGCACTCGCTCTCACTCGAGCACCTTCAAGCAGAGGGAACATTGTCGTTGCCACAAGTCAACCACACCCCATCTATTCCAAATACATCTGCCCAGCGATTATCGCTGGACAGCTGGACAGAGGCGGCGCTGAGCCTGCGTCTCGAGTCGTATCCTACTATCCTACTGGGCAACAGGCACCCGGCAGGCCACAACAGGGCAGGAGAGTGAGGGAGAACTGCTGGGGCGATACGCTCCGGCAGTTCGTGGTGGTAAGAAGAAGAAAAGAGACGGACTTCAAACTTTGACCATGTGACACTAATTAATAGATCGATCCGAGATAATCGGAGATAATCAACTCCCATCTTCAAGCTCATCCATTGGTCTCGTAGCTCAGCGGTTAGAGCGTCAGATATCATTGCCTCAAAAAAATTGGGAATGTTATTCCGGAAGACCAGGGTTCGACTCCCTCGAGACCGTGATAACACCCTCATTTTCATTCTTTTTTCATCAGATTATCTCGGTCCCGAGATAATCAACTCCCATATCGGTCTTCAAGCCATCCATTTCCTCAACGGTCTCGTAGCTCAGCGGTTAGAGCATCGGATTATCATTGCCTCCAACTCGGGAATGTTTATTCCGAAAACCAGGGTTCGACTCCCTGCGAGGTGATATACGTGTTCATTTTCATCTTTTTATTAATATAATTATTTTTTTGCAGCATCAATAAATCCCGTGATCGTCCCTCAAGTTCTTTCAAGTCCACCACCTGCTTGGTACCTGCTTGGTGTGCTTGCACCTTGTAGGATTCTCTTGTCTTCCACCCGCTCTGGAACTCCCACCACTATTTGCTTGGTGCGCTGTCGCGTTGTAGACAAGCTGGTTTTCTTCCAATCACCGCCAAACTTCAATCCACGTATTGCGTGGTGCACTTGCACCTTGTAGGACCCTCTTGTCTTCCACCCACTCTGGAACTCCCACCGCCATTTGCTTGGTGCGCTGTGCCTTGTAGACGCGCTGGTTTTCTTCCAATCACCCCACGTACTGCGTGGTGCGCCGTCGCCTCGTAGAATTCAATCTTGGCTCTCATGAATCCCACCCTTCCTGTAAGACTTCACTCTCCATCCACCCAACACCACCTAATATTTTTTTCTCAGTTATTCGATGGGGAACCTATCCTCGGCCATGCTATAGGAGATGTTATCTACAGCGTATACAACGGGAAGCCCGACTTTCTGCAGAAAATGCTGACCCGTGAAGATGCTCCCCACCTCATCACTCGTCCATTCACGGAAATTTCACGTCTCTGACCTATGCTTCACCTGCCACCCCATATATCATGTTTATACCCAGCTACATCCATGGTATGGGCTGCTACTCAATCGGCTCAACTACAAACCATCTGGACTTCCTATAATCGAATTCGGAAATGGACGGTGGGGTCTGGCGAGCTCCTTAGCAGATGAATGGTGGACACTCGAAATAAACCTTTGCCGGGTATTATACGCTATGATGGATATCGCCAAACAATGCACAAAGGGAATGGTACCATTTGGCTGGCCGAGCCGGTGGGGTTACCTCGGCAAGTTTCGCACTGAACAGAGTGCTCGAACTGCCATCTTCCGTGCCATCCGGGATTCCTGCCTCTCATCGGCAGTGTTTCTATGTACATCTGGTACATGGAGCTGCGGGGCTATCTGAGGGATTCAGCTGGGGAAGTCCTTGCGGTTCATGACCTTCCAGATTGGAGAGAGGCTGTGTGTCTTACTGCTGGCGTGCATCGCCAGTGGCTGAACGATCTACAGGAGTTGGCTGCCGGTGACTTTTCTGTTCCTCAAATTGGAGGAATACTAGATTTCAGTGTCCCTCTTGGTTCCTGCCCTGAACTTGTCGACATGCCCCGCGATTTTGACTGGATCATCCCCGCAATCATTTCTACACGCCTCCCTATGCCCTTGTACATTACGTGGGGCTCAATCAGCGAGTATCCCCGTGTTTTCGTTCCTTTTGGCTTGAGGTCGATGAAGTTCGTCCCTGATGCCGCGGAGATATCTTATTTACGCGACTTGCCAGGCCAAGTGGCATTCAGTCGCCGGAGGTCCGCTCAACCTGAGGGCAAGAACATGCAGCTTACCTCCTGCCGCGAAACTCATCCATATGTTGCTCTGCCACCGGACGCAGCTCCACCAACGGATGCAGCTCCCTCGCCATCCTTGATCTCCCCATCTCCCCCCCTCGCACCATTTCCCCCTGTCGAGCGCTATAGTGGACAGCGCGAAGGGGAAAATATCGATGCCTTTTTCCTTCGCCGACAGCAAAAAAAGCCCAGAGGCCGCGTCCGAAACGCTGGACAGCAAGTGCCGTCGAGAGCAGAGGGAAGCCAATGCGCAGAAGGGACAGGTTCCGGGACGTAAGGGAGCAAGAGTTTTCGTATGGGAGAAAGAAAATGGACAATACATTCGTCGAGCGGCTGGCCGAAACAAATACGAGGATGTTTGGGAAGAATACGGTCCTGAACAGCGTCGATACGACCATACTACGATGAATGGGACATATGTGAACAGTTTGGGCCCGCCGCTGAGCCAGAAGATGATTGGAATGATATGGGTGGCTACGATGGCCAGGAAGATGACGACATTCCATCTGAAATGCTCGCTGAAGCTGCTGTTTTACAGCCATCTGGGTCACACACCTCGGAAGTAGACCTGGATCGAATCCATCCCATCGTAACTGAGTCTGAGTCCACGGAAACTGGCTCGAGCACAGCGCTGATTGCCCCGACTTTCAAGGAAATGGTTCGTCTACGTTTTGGGTGTACAGTAACTCAAGAGAAGGTTACCACCTCCCTCGAACTCCCTGAGGCTTTTCTCACCAAGAAGTTTCTTGGCGATACCGCGATTCATATCTCGGATGAAAACCAACTGGATCATTTTCACTGCACGATATCCCTCATTATTTGCTGGATTTCCAATCAAAAGAGTCAGAGAGCGCGACTACTGCACTGGAAATAGCAAGACAGGGATGGGGCCTGAGCCTACGCGACGTCGTAATGAGCCTTTTGGCTCGCGGAGTAACCTTCCTCGCTTGTTTTCGTTCCCCAAACACGTCGCCTGCTCGCACTGGCATCCGCAGACCACCAAACTACAAACCCGATATAAGAGACTACCGCTCATACGTCGCTGTCCGCAGTAGATTCCTGCTTAGTGCCCGTGGCCGCGCGGCTTTGCTATACGGCGGTATCATTGGTCATCTTGCGAGGTCTGAAGTTTCATCGGAGGAAGTTCTCCGCGGACCCAGTGACGATGATCTCATCGACGGCATTTGTCTATGGGATGGTCATTCTGCGGCTGCTTATTGGGATGATCGTCTTACCGGTGAAGAAATTGACTTGATTTGTGGTGTTTATCATGTAGCAACGGGTAAATATCTATTTTCCTTTCGCACCTATCAAATCTGATCACACTTCTCAGGTCAATATGACGGTAACCTCCAAAATGGTGAACAAACCTCTACCTTGTCCTGGTGGCCCAGACCTCATTCATTTGCCGCATCAGGAATCAATTTTGGCTGGTAGACACCAATGTGGGAAAGTTGGTACCAGAAACGGCTCCAACAGCTTGAAAATGGTCCAGGGACTCTTGCCAAGCACACCCAATGGAAACATAACCTCAAACTGGAATGCAGAGCGCCCCCGTATATTGCAGCCATTGAAAAATGTGCTGCCCATATTCTTGCTACTTTACGGCCTTGAGCCCAGTTCTTCTTGGAAGTATATGTACAATTCTTGCAATCTAACACGTTTCATCTCCCATCCTGCGCAGATTGTGTGTGTGATTTCACGGTAAAGTACATCTTCTGTCCAGCCAACTAGATTTCGGTCGACTACAAGTGGCCTACTCCCCGCGCCTCTTCATCTCTTCCGCCAAACTGATCACTTCTTCTTTCGCCTCAGCACATCCCCCAATGACTTCAACGTCAAATTTCTCCTGGTGTCGAATGAAGGAAGACATGCATGAATATGGATGAATCCATGCGTTCTTCGCCTTGATTTTACGGTGCACAAGGTGCTCTGAATCCCTAAGTCAGGTTTTGGGCAACAATAATGAATACTCACCCAATTTTGTCGCATGTTCGGTGGGTACCTCCCACAACAATGTTATTTCGTCTTTGTGGCACTGATTTTGCCATTCTCTAGTGCAACGCGGAGGCTCCTTGCTCCTTCGGCCTTCAAAACCACCGTCCCGTCGGGATGTTTCACCCTCAGCCCGTATACCTTCCCTGGACGATCGCTTGGGGAGGGGGCCTTCGATAATGCGGCATCGACGTCTGCCAGGGAATAAGTAGGCATCTGGATGACTTGTACCTTCCTTGTAAGTGTTGCTTTGGCGTCTGTGATGACCACTCACCTGTGGTACTAGTGGAAGAATGTTGTGGATAATCTGGCTTGAAGAAGTGTACAGAGGAGCAAACTTGAGTATGCAAGGACAGACAAATAAGGTCGTTCACGACACTCACGCCGTCAGCAACAACAAACGCACATTCGAGGACGTCGAAGACCGGAACCGAGACGCCGACGAAGGCGAGGACGAAGAGACGTGCGCGTGCGCTTGCAGAAAGGAATGGAACGCTGCCCAAGATCGTATTTTGGAGTGGCGGTGCAATCCCGTTTCGCACTGGAGCTCAAATCCCTCCGCCTCCTCGACAAGCAACGCCTCCTCCGCTCTCAAGTAGCCGAAAACCTCACCCACGGCCCCCTCGTTCCCTTGAACCGCCCCGACTTTCGCCGTTTCCGAGAGCCGACAATCTGCGATGCACGCGTTACCGAGCAGCTTGAGCGCAAGCAGTGCATTGACCGCGAGCGCCGTGCCAAATTGAAGCACGTTGAGCAGCTTGAGAAGCAAAACGTCGACACGTTTGCTCTCAACGACGAGGAGTTCAGACATCATTACCGCGTCGATGTCACAGACGAGAAGAGCGGGTTCATGAGCGGTGTACTCCAGGTCGGGCTAGATGATAGCTCACTCGAGCTACAGGCGAAGCTGGACGAGGAATACGTTCAGCTTAGGGAGGACCGGCGATTAATGCGCACTTTCATCTTCCCTCGAGCTGACCCGACCACCAACTTCTATCTTCCTGTAAATCTACTGCGGATCGTTCAGAACGCCGGGCAAATCTTCCATATTGACCAGCGACAACCAAGCGACCTGGAGCCCGTCTATATCATCGACGCAGTGAAGGAACTGGGCGAGCACCTTATTGTTGTGCGAGGGGACGATCCTCTGAGCCAGCAGGCTCAGCAGGATGCGGTGTTGCGGTTCCGAATGCATCTGCGCTCCACATTCGCCACTCGTCGCGTACTGGAAAGACATCATCTCAATCGCGAAGCGTTTGACTGGGCGCCGGGCGAAGTGGAGTCGAAATTCAATCAGGCCATCGCGAACCCCGGCGAGATGTGCGGAACCCTTGCCGCTCAGTCTAT